CATCATCAGAGCTGGGTGTCATTCTTGTAAAAGTCTCACGTAAACACTAAAGCAAGAACACTATCCGGCTATATCGTACTACTTATATAGACTCAAGTAAGCACAATATAATTAATAGGCATATAAATATATAATGTTTTGGCTACTCATCTTTCATATTGGTTATGCTACTTCTGCTCGAATGTCTCTCTCTCTCTCTGTGAGTTTGTGTGTTCTAATGTCTATACGCAATACCGGTCCTAAATCCGTGAGCAAAAAGGCTAATGTCAGCCTCGGGTCATCAAGGCTTAATGAGCCAATAAAAGTAAACCGTAACCGAGACTGCATAATTACGTAAGCTGGTAAGTCGAGTTACGTAGCCACTTGTGCTAACCTCTCAATTTAAGGTAATTAAGTTTTAACCACCCAAGGAAAGGAATGACTGTGGCTGCGTAATCTCGAATGTCTGGTTTGGTTGATGAGCCTATTCTAACCTTTTGGAAGAGTGTGAGCGAAGATGGGGCCATCACTGAACGGACAAGTTGAGTTGCCTTCTTTTGGATGGCGTCTCTCACCTTCAATATTTCAATCAAACAAAAATACTTCTGTTAAGAGGACCTTCATTTCGTATGTAAAAATACTTCTTAATCGAAGGTATAAATGCCAAAATGGTGTAGCCTTTTGTATGGTTGTAGTATTATTTTGTTGTATAATGGTTGGTTGACCTTGTTTTCGCAACTTGGTCATATTGTTAGAAAGACCCAGAGAAACACACTTGGTCCGGAGTCCATAGTATGCATGATCATTTCCAGAGTCGGACCGAGGACGTGGTACATTCCCAGACGTTTCGCATTGCCATTCTTAACACTCGTCAAGGAGACAAGTAAAGCCGATCCTTTGACCAATTGTCTGCTAAACAATTGTGGTATCTCTCCTTCTGCCCTCGACTATTCACCCATCCTATATCATCTTATCACACCTTCACTATAACAATTTCTCATTTAACCGTAGCATGGTGTGCCCCTTTTTAGCGGATTTCATGGGAAATCCCCAAATCCCACTCTTGCTTTCTCACCTTCTCACCGCGCAATCTTCTTTCCATAGGTCTTATCAGAGTCTCCCTCTTGCCCCAGAGGATCCGTTCCATACCTTTCTGGTTCAGGTATTCCACCCAAGCCCTGCCATCATTTCTCAACTACCCGAAGAGCTATTTCCAACACTGTCTCAAGTCTTTATTGGCACTCATATTCCCACCTCGACTATTCACCCATCCTATATCCTCGTATCACCCCTTCACTACCACCATTTCTTATTTAAATGCTGCATAGTGTGCCCTTTTTAGCGGGTTTTATGGGACATCTCCAAACCTTGCCATAGCTCTTATCAGAGTCTCCCTCCTCCTCCGTACAATCCACCTTCTACCCTCCTGGTTCAGGTATCTCGCTCGACCCCTGCCATCCTTTCTGTACCACTCGAAGTGTTATCTGCTACACTGTTTCAAGCCTTTGATCACACACATACTCTCGCATCGCTGAAGAGGCTGCTAAAAATCAGGATTCTTGAGCTGGATGGGAGACTAACTTGAGGCTAAAGATCTCGAATAATTCCCATGATCAAGCCTTCGCTTAAAGGACTTTGTCTATGATCAAACACATCTACTATTAGCCAACTAGATCTAGTCTTTGCCGCATCTATCGTGCTTCTATCAATAGTGACATGTCTATGATTTCCCATGTTCTAGTCACTTGTGTGCCAAGTCACAAATGTTGTAGTTCTACTTCTTTTGATTAGGTGCAATGCAGATCTACGACATTTGTGGTTTGGCACACAAGGGACTAGGGCATAAGAAGTCATAGACTTGGTACTATGGATAGAAGCAGGATAGATGGGGCGGAGACTAGAGCTAGTTGGCTGACAGTAGACGCTATATGAGATATGTAACTGGTAGTCTCGAAAAGCTACTTATTCGAAAAATAACAGTAGACATCCTTGATCATAGACGTTTTGCATCAAGCAAAGGCCCGATGATGTGAATCACTCGGAATCGTTAGTCCAGCTCGAGAATCCTGATTGTTAGAAGCCTCTTCAGTGAGGCGGGAATATGAGTGCCATCAAAGACTTGAGACAGTGTTGGAAATAGCGCTTCAAGTAGATGAGAAATGATGGCAGGGCTTGGGTGGAATACCTGAACCAGGAAGGTATGGAGCGGATCCTCTGGGGCAAGAGAGAGACTCTGATAAGGCCTATGGGAAGAAGCTTGCGCGGTGAGAAGGTGAGAAAGCTGGAGTGGGATTTGGGGATTTCCCATGAAATCCGCTAAAAAGGGGCACACCATGCTACGGTTAAATGAGAAATTGTTATAGTGAAGGTGTGATAAGATGATATAGGATGGGTGAATAGTCGAGGGCAGAAGGAGAGATACCACAATTGTTTAGCAGACAATTGGTCAAAGGATCGGCTTTACTTGTCTCCTTGACGAGTGTTAAGAATGGCCAGTCGAAACGTCTGGGAATGTACCACGTCCTCGGTCCGACTCTGGAAATGATCATGCATACTATGAACTCCTGACAAAGTGTGTTTCTCTGGGTCTTCCCAACAATATGACTAAGTTGCAAAGAAGAGGTAAAAAGTAATTCTTACCAAACTTTCTAGCACCATTCCCCACATTCAATCTTTTCCCTATTTATTAATTTCAATAAAAAAGTAGACTTATTATAATCGGCAACCTACTCGTCTTAGATAACGCTATCTCATTTTGAGTGTCTGGTCTGTGCTTACGGCCATTTACAAGCATTTTTGTGTTTTCCCATTCTTTGTCGAATAGGTCGGCATGTCTCACCAACATCAGCTCGACCACTGTGGTACACAATCCCGCAGCAGACGAAGCTCGATAAGTGATCATGTTTCTCGGTAAAACATTGCATGACTGAAGAAAGTTCTAGGGTTTCTTTGAAGACTGTTTTTATCCCCCGCTTTCTCAATAACTCCCCAATCTTCTTTGAAATAAGACATGAGATAAGGTCTCTGCTCGTCTATCTTTAACTAATTAA